TTAAGGGACATTGTTGGCCTTCAAAGGACTGAAACACCACCAAGGGGGATAAATATCTCCAGCTCAACACCAGTCAGTCAGAACTGATGAAGCCTCGTGGATGAGAGGTGAAACGTCTTCGACCTAGAAATCTAGTCCAGTTGAGTTTTTTCAAAATGCTCCACACATTCTCTACTGGGGACAGGTCAGGACTGCAGGCAGGCCAGTCCAGCACTCACACCTTTATCTCCACAGCCAGGCCTTGGTAATGTGGCAGTATGAGGTTTGGCCTTGTCTTGTTGAAATATACATGGGCGTCCCTGGAAAAGACGTCGTCTTGAAGGCAGCATATGTTGCTCCAACATCTCTATATATTGTTCAGCATTAATGGAGCCATCACAGAAGTGTAAGTTATCTTTGCCAAGGTCACTGACACAACCCCGGACCATGACAGACCCTGGCTTTTGGACCTGTTGCTGGTAACAGTCTGGATGGAACTTTTCATCTTTGGGCCATGGCATCCATTCCCTTCAAAAAAGATCTGAAACACTGATTTATCTGACCACAGTACATTTCCACTGTGTGATGGTCCATCCCAGACACCTCTGAGCCCAGAACAGTCGACTGTGCTTCTGGACACTGTTGACATAGGGCTTCCTTTTGGCACAGTACAGTTTTAGGCAGTATTTATGGATGTAACTACATATTGTAGTGCCTGACAGGTGTGCCAGAGTAATCCAGAGACCATGTGGTTATGTCGCTTATAGAAGAGTGACAATTCTTGAGAGAGCATGGTCATCCAGCTTAGACTAAGGTAACAGCTTAGGTAACAGTCTGGATGGAACTTTTCATCTTTGGGCCATGGCATTCCTTCCCTTCAAAAAAGTCATCCAGCTTAGACTTGTACCCTTTATGCACTGAAATCCCTCCAAATTCTTTTAATGGTGTTCTGCATCATAGAGGGTGACATATCCAAATCCCTTCCTATGTTTTTTTGAGTAACATTGTTTTAAACATTTCAATAATTTTCTCACCCATACATTGGCAAACTGTTGATCTTTGACCCATCTTTGCTCCAAAAGGGCTCGCTGTCTCCTGGATGTTACTTTTGTACCAAATCATGATGCAGTCACCTGTTGACATCACCTGTTTCAAATAGAATCAGCATTTCATTATTCTGCCTCATTACCAGACCTGAAATGCAACACTTTTTGGGTTGAGTTGCAGCATCAGAATTGAAGTGTTTATTTTGGAATAAAGTTAAATATTTAAATCACATAATGTGCTGCTGTATTGTTTCCAAAGTAATACAGGACACAGATGATTTTCACTATTTTCAGTTTTAAGTTTGATTTTACATACTGTCCCAACTTTTTCTGATTTGGGCTTGTATATACAGTCCAGTATATTCACTTCAGCGTAAGGTCTTGTCTGGACCGTTGTGCTGAAGCGTCTGGTAACATTTTTGGCATTTAGCAGAGGAAAGTCTGTCTCCTCTCATCATCATGGGGATATGGTTATCCTGTATAGTGCAGTAAATAGGTATGCAGTGAAAAATGTTTTAAACTTAGAAAATGAAATATTCCCATTAGGTTCTGAAGCCTAAAATAGTGTTAATTTGACATACTTAGCCTACGCAGTGGTTAAACCGTGTTTTGTACAAATCAAAAATGAAATGTATAAAAGTAAACACTATTATTATTTGACATTGTTTTCCTTGTTGGATTTTGCTGTAAGACAAGAAGCTCATTGTGTCAGCGCTGTTGCCTACAAACTTTAATCGAATGTTTACTATAGTACCTACTGTTTGTTTTTTTTTCTCCTCACTAGCACTTTGTGAATAACCACTTGAGTTACCACAACTTTTATATATTGAATATCACAACTAGCACTACAACAGTTAGTTGATCGATTGGTATTTACAGAAAACGATTTGCCAGTTATTTTGATAGTTGAATAATCATTAGTTATTCCTCAAGAATTTATGAAAACCCTATCCTGGTTCTAGGCTCTCAGATGTGACGGTGTGTAGCTTCTCTTGTTCTTACAGTTACTATAGATGTTGTTATATTTTTGAGTTTTACACTTTTGGTTGGAAATCCAGTCAGACAAAAAGGATTTTCAATTGACATTGTAAAATAACAGAATAGTAGTGAATACTTAACAGGCCCTGATAAAGATCACCATATTTAACCACTTATTTTTATACCTTTTTATAGCTTTATTATACCTACTTTTTAGAATCTTGTTTTTTTTGTGGCGGTGAATAACACTTTACCTGTTTGTTTCAAACCTCAGAAAACCTAAGACGAAGCGCTCCAAGCGCTTCTTGGAAAGCAGAGTACCTAAGTTGACGGAGGATGTGAAGAGTGCCATGATTATGAAAGGGGGGAACACCAGTCAGACAGTCACCCAGGCCCTCAAGGACATAGTAAGTAATTTGGTGACACACTCGCTGAGGAAGACCTTCAACACATGAGTGGCTGTTGTAAAGGTGTAGTATTCCATTGTTCTGGATCCACCTTCAGATGCCAAGAAAACAGGAGACATGACAACATCAAGCTATATGTTTTAGCTTCTGTTACACTTCTTTATCAGTGCTTCTTTATTCGTTTTGGGGAGGCGACAGTGCGGTGGGTAGAGCAGTCGTCTCTCAACTGTTGCCCCCGATGGTTAGAGCCATCGGTTATGTTGGCGCCACAAATGGCTGCCTCGGTTCTGTACCAGAAACAAATTCCTTGTCTGTAACATACTTGGCCAATAAAGGTGATTATCCTTATTCCGATTGGATAGGGCCTTTTTTTATTTCACTGTTAAAAAGTTCATCCCTGACATACATACTGATATGAAATTGCCAACATAAAAAGTTAATCCAATAAAACTTGGATAATGATAATAAAGAAACGCAGTCCATTCAGTTATATTTAGTACATTCATATTTCAACACATCTGAAGTGACATAAGAGACCTATTTCTTTATCTGTGTACTGTAACATGGTAGTTTGTCACCAGTGGACTCAAGTTATTTTCTTTTAAAGCAGCACCAGACACAGTCTGTCACTTCCTGTTCTTTAGCCAGATGGATAGATTTTAGCAAAGAACAGTGGCCTACTTAATCCACTGTGTTATATCAGTGACTCATAATTACTAACATATGTGTAATTTGACCTGAACCTGCATTACGCAAATTTAAAGGATTTTTTTTTTTAACAACCCGGGAAATGCAGTATTTTCATAGAGCTGGCCAATATATTGTACCTTCAGATTACTGACCGACATATAACATCAAAATTTATTACCCCACTACTTCACTATACAGGGCAACCTGAATGTGTTGTGCCATTTTTTTCTTTCTTTTTTTTTTAGTGAGACATGACATTTGACCTAGTTAGAAAAACTGAGATAATAAACTGGTCCAGAAGTCACATGGACATATAAATGAAACACAGGAAAGGCTTCCTTTTTTAAAGGCCTCCTGTTTTAAAGATGTTTCCTGCAGAGCCTCCTTTCCACAATCTTTACAATAAAAGTGCAGAATGTAATATTATTTTACTTTATATATTAACCCGAAGTGAAACCAAAGTTGTTAAATACTAGAATTTAACTATTGAGATGGTCATGTATCCAGGGAGTGGTTGAAAATGGGCCAGATTTTCCAACAGAACAGGAGAGTGTAAGCCTCTCGGATGTTTCACATGAATCATCAGTGATTAAGCCTGTTTAATAAACTTGTGCTGATGCTATGAATTGTAATTGAGCCAAAACAAATGTAAATTATAAATTGTCTTCCTGCAGTATTCTCTGAAGAAACCCAGTGCTGTGCTGTACAAGAAGTAAGTGATTGTTATGTCTCTGGAATGACGAATCTAATACTTCAGGCAAACCAGCTTAGTTTTACAACGTGTTCTAGTTTCCTGTTTCACGCAAGTGGTCACACATGAAAGTGCAAACAAAATCAGAGGATTTCACGTTCTCTTTGTGGTGTTTAGAAAAATTATCTTTAAGGGCTTTGTTTTATATTGATTACAAATGACTTGTCATTTGTCATGTAACTTCATGCACACGTGCTTCAATGTCATTTCAGAATCAAAAACATCACAAAAGAGTTTAAACAATCCGACTGCATCGTGTATTTGTTCACAAACGGTATGTTACATTCCAGATTAGGTGTCAAATCTTTATTTCCTTTTTAGAAAGAACATAACTCGGCCGTTTGAGGACTCAACATCGCTGGTATGTCTGTAGGGAATAGCAAATGCTTCACTGCAGTTAAATGTTTGTGCATGTTTTCCGCCATTGTCACTAATCACTTTCATTCTTATTTTATTCAGGAATTTTTCTCCAAGAAGTCCGACTGCTCACTGTTTCTGTTCGGCTCTCACAACAAGAAACGGCCCAACAACCTCATATTTGGTAAAATCTCTCACTTGCTCTCACACAGGAGCAAAACAAACAGATACTTTAGCTAATGTATCATTTCTATGTTTGCTTAAATAAGTCTAAAAATTGACAGGCTCCTTATGTTTCCAGATTTTAGCACAACTTATTTTGGAATACATCCAGAAATGCCAAACATATGCTTTATTATGGACCGGCAGTGTGTCACGTTTTATGAAGCTGTTAATGAAGAAGAATTACCTGTTGGTTATTAGGGCACCAGATAACACACACATGGCCCGCTCTCAGCCTAATCACAATACACTGATGTGTAAATTCAGTGATGGGTTACAGTATGGAAGAAAGTGTGTACTGTAGAAATGGAAAACCCCCATCTTTCGAAAGCTACATGCTTTAGATGTCCATCAGCTCAGTTTTGAGGGACCACAGGCCAAAGGGTTCTCTGTGTGTCATTGTTTCCTTTGGTTTATTTGCAGGTCGCCTGTTTGACTTCCACGTGCTTGATATGTTTGAGCTTGGAATCGAGAAGTACGTCTCTCTGAGTGAGATTAAGGTAAAGGTTGGCGTTTTTCTCTTAACATCTGTTGTTTCTTTAAGGGAAATTGGATTAGCAGTCTTGTAGACAAACTGAGTGAGAGGTGATGACACCCTTCTGGCGCTAAAATAAAGTCACATTTTGTGCAGAATGTTTTGATTATGTGCAACATGAAGCACACATGTTGCTATGGTTTCCTGCGGTTCATTTTACAAAATGACAGTAGTGCTAGTTTAAATTACAATGACAGTAGTAAGAAAGTATTTTGTATGGATTGTATTTAAGGGGTTTCACTATTGGTGCCATGACACTGATAATGCCACATCATTTATGAGCATAACCTTTATCTGTTTTTGTCTGGTACAGCTACGGTGGTATTCAGTTGACAATCATAATGTTAGCATAACCACACATTAACTAAGCCATCTGCTGAAAACAGCCATTAAACCTAAATTAGCCTCTAATGTAGTTGGTGTAGTTAGACTGTCTGATCAAGATGTCTAGTAATGTGCTGCGTTAACATTACAGTTTTCAGCTAACCACTGTGGCTGTGCACCGTACACAAAGAACACCTTCATGCTTATATTAGATAGTAGATGATGTAGTGTTAGTGTTGTCTTCAGTATGCCATAAAATGTGAATTCCCTCAAATAAACTCTAATATTTCAAACTAAACATCATCACTATATAATCACAAACTACTTGGAACTCTAAAAAGATACCAACATAGGGTAGTGGTAGCTAGACTAACATGGGCACCAACACTATCATGTCTCTTAATTTTTTTTGTTTGAGGCTGCATATCAGAAATTAGTGTTTTTCTTCCATGGAGTCTGAGGAGGATTTCACTTGAAGAATTCAGCATTTTGAGGAGTTCACTTATTAGTTTGAGATTTATTTCAATTTCATGTCTGTGCGTAATGTTTGGAGCTTGAGTCAGGACAGCTTAACTTGGCATAAAGACTGGAGGCTGTGGGAAACAGCTGGAGTGACTCTGTCCAAAGTTAAAATGCTCCTATCAATACCTCCAAAGGTCACAACTTAACACATTGTTTTTTTATTTAATCTATACACAAACAGAAATATAAAAATGCCAGTTAGGGCCTGTCTGACCCTGGCAGCATGGGGCCGATTGCAGTCAGGTGCGCTTCATCCATTGTTTGGTATTTGTGTGGCCAGTGATACAGAATACATTGTCATACAATGAGGTGACAGTCATGCCATGTCATGTCTTCTTCCATCTCCTTTAAATGCTCCACTCTTCATAGGTCAATCATATACTATACTGACACTACAAGCCAGCTGGATCAGCCACTGCTTAACCTGAGCAAATACAATGCTGATGCTGTGTCGGGTCACATATCTGCTCTTTGCTTGGTTGGGGATAGGGTTCAGGGATGCTTTGTGTTAAGGGTAAGTTAGGTCTGGAAAATGGTGCTGCTTATTGTGGGGCTCTGAAGATTTATAATGGCATGGCCTGACACCCCCCTCTTTGGGCCCAAAATGGGTAAACATCATTTAACTTGTATACTGAGCTTCCATATGAATGCTCTCCCATTCTTTGGCACATTTAATTGTGTATTAATGACTACTTCCATCTCCTTAAACAGATGCCTCTCCCCTTCAGATATTGGTGCTGACAACCTCACAATGGAATAGTTGCCTACATAAGCTTCATATTCTGACATAAACCTGATTCTGGTAGTGATCCGCAGATAACCCCAACAGCTTCTATCGCTCTGTGTCTGTCATCATACTACTGTACTGTTATTCTCACTAAGGTTGGTGAGGACTCCTTTTTTTGGGGTCTGCACATATAGAAATGCATGAACCCTGTGGGTAGTGGGCTGAAGATGCTAGGATCTAAAATGAAGAATGAAAGGGACTTTCTTCATTTGACAAATGAAGAACCGGCCATGGCTTGCATAGCTTTTTCTGTTTAGTTACATAATCGCTCTTCAGCCAATCTATTTTCTGTTGTTATAACATAACTCCCAGTCTCCTAAAGTAGTTTGTCTTTTCTGTTGCAGACTAGTAAGTGTCCTGAGGGGACCAAACCGATGCTTGTATTTGCAGGAGAGGCTTTCGATGCAGACAGTGAGCACAAACGTCTCAAAAGTCTGCTCATAGGTATGCACTCATGATACTCTGCAAAGGTGTCACTAGATGTCACTGCTGCCATCAAGTAGACGGTTCAGAGTAATGAAATCAAGGACTACTAGATTCGGGGGGGAGGGAGTGAGAGGCCTGTTTATTTCGTTTTTCTAGTGGTTAAGTTTTTTTTATATGGTCTTATTTCATATGTTATGTCTTTTTTTTGTTGTTGCAAAAATTTTGTTGTACATGTTACAATGACAATAAAGGATTATATTATCTTAAAAGATTGGTTTTAGGTGAAATGCGATATTGGTCTGCTAATATTGTCCATCGCATTGCCCTACTTTCAGACTTCTTCAGAGGGCCCACTGTGCCTGCTGTGCGTCTGGCTGGTTTAGAGCATGTCCTGCACTTCACTGCCCTGGACGGGAAAATATTCATGCGCAGCTACAGGTACTTAAATTAGAATTTCTTTAAAAAATAAAACATCCTTACTCACCAACTGTTCTTAAGAACAAATTTGTTCATAAAACCCACTTAGGATGTTTTCGTGGAGATTCTTGCATTCACCAGTGTTTTCTTATCTGGGATTTATTCTTATGTAAGAACATTCTACACCCACTCAGGTGCACACTTGCACAAATTTGAGTGCTGACGTGTGTATGCAATAACTGGCTATTTACTTTTCTTATATAATATAAGATTTAATTTACAACAGTTTTGTCATTATTAGTATTTCTTGCGGCAGTATCACGTGCGGCAGACACACTGGCCTCAAGCAGTCACAACAAACAGGTACTGTGCTTCGGGGGAATCCAGCGTTGATGGGCTGATCATTCACTGCCGCACGGGCCTCACTAGCTGGCTGCTTGTAGGTTAGACCCGGTAAGGTAAAACAGCGGGTCCCTGTACAGGAACATTCCCGGACATGCAGTAGCCTCAGGCCCTGTATTTTTCTCCATATCCTCTGTTCACAGTGCAGCAGCCGGGGGGAAAATGTATCCACAACACTGGGTGCAGTTGAAAAATTGCTTTTAAAATGGCAGTGGTGGATGTCAGGCAAGCTCGCATAAATGCGCAACTGCCTGGAGATTATGAACATTCAAGGAAATTCTTAAACTATCACAAAGACTTTATTTTGTTAGAAAAAAAAAAGTCTTGCGAGACGTGTATAAACCGAGTTTCTTCTGCATAGAAATACTAGAACATTGTAGATAAGTCAGAAAACAAGGAAAAGCAGGCCGTGGGCCCTTGAAGTGTCTCTCAGCTATTGTGGCCAGTGTTGAGGCTGTCTGTGTAAGTGTTTAGTTGTCCAGCACGGCATCCGAGATCAGACTCTGTGCAGTCGAAGGGCGCTGGGTGCACTCATGAAGGTCCGCTCAGTGCCTAGAGAGCCATGTATGGCCCGATGTGAAGCTAAAATAACTCTGGTCAAGCGTGTCCTCCTCCACTGGTCAGCATCTCTCTTCTGTGTTTGTTTTGTTGCCTCCGATTTGAAATCAAACAGTTCAGTTGTGTGCCCTTCTCCTTATACAGTGTTCACTGAATGAGAAAGACCAGCCCGTGTCTTTTTTTGTTTTATTTTTTTATCCATTACTGGCGCTATTAAATATGACAGCTTATTCGCTGTTCTCCATTTTTCCTCCAGCTGGCGTTTATTGCCCCACCATCTTTAGATTTTCCTTGTAGCATTCCTGGATTTCTCAACTTCTCTTTTTCGTTTCTGTGTGAGGTGTGTGCACACAGCCCTGTGGTCTCATGCCCTTTCATGGCCGTTGGTGGGGCGGTAACCTATGCTAATTAGGAATGACTTGCAGCTTTGAACTTAGGAACACATGGGATTCTTCAATGTAAGAACACATTTATGAACCAGACAGACTTTTCCTAGGACCTTTCTTAAGAAGAAATGTAAGAAAACATTTAGGAATATGTTGGTGAATGAGGCCCAATGTTTGTACAGTGCCTTGCAAAAGTATTCATGCCCCTTGAACTTCTCCACATTTTGTCACAGTACAACCACAAACTTAAATGTATTTTATTGGGATTTTATGTGATGGACCGACACAAAGTATCGCATAATTGTGAAGTGGAAGGAAAATGATACATGGTGCTCAAGATTTTTTACAAATAAAAATCTGAAAAGTGTGGCGTGCATATGTATTAAGCCCCCTTGAGTCAATACTTTGTCGAACCACCTTTCGCAGCAATTACATCTCCAAGTCTTTTGGGTTATGTCTCTATCAGCTTTGCACATCTAGAGACTGCGATTTTTGCTCATTCTTCTTTGCAAAGTAGCTCCAGTTCAGTGAGATTGGATGGAGAGCATCTGAACAGCAATTTTCAAGTCTTGCCACAGATTCCCAATAGGATTTAGGTCTGGACTTTGACTGGGCCATTCTAACACATGAATATACTTTGATCTAAACCATTCCATTGTAGCTCTAGCTGTATGTTTAGGGTCGTTGTCCTGCTGGAAGGTGAACCTCCACCCCAGTCCCAAGTCTTTTGCAGCTTCTAACAGGTTTTCTTCCAGGATTGCCCTGTATTTAGCTCCATCCATCTTTCCATCAACTCTGACCAGCTTCCCTGTCCCTGCTGAAGAAAAGCATCCCTACAGCATGATGGCGCCACCACCATGTTTCACGGTAGGGATGGTGTGTTCAG